CTAGAGGGCAGAAAGCAAATGGATGTGTTAGAGGAGAGTGCAGCCCTGCAGAGAAGGACTCAGGGGTGTTGGTCGACAAGAAACTTAACATGACCTGGCTTCAGTGTGCGCTCGCAGCCCAGAAACCAACCATATCCTGGGCTGCATCAAAAGGAGCATGACCAGCAGGTCAAGGGAGGTGATCCTGCCCCTCTACTCTGCTCTCGTGTAACGCCACTTGGAGCATTGGGTGCAGTTCTGGTGTCCTCAACATAAGAAGGACATGGAGCTGTTGGAGGAAGTCCAGAGGAGGGCCACAAGGATGATAAGGGAGCTGCAGCACCTCCCGTATGAAGACAGGCTGAGAAAGTTGGGGCTGTTCAGCCTGGAGAAGAGAAGCTGCGTGGAGACCTCATAGCAGCCTTCCAGTATCTGAAGGGAGCTTACAAAGATGCTGGACAGGGACTCTTCATTAGGGACTGCAGTGATAAGACAAGGGGTAATGGGTTTAGACTTAAACAGGGGAAGTCCAGGTTAGATGTAAGGAAGAAGTTCTTTACTGTGAGGGAGGTGAGGCACTGGCACAGGTTGCCCCAAGTGGTGGTGAATGCTCTATCCCTGGCAGTGTTCAAGGCCAGGCTGGACAGAGCCTTGGGTGACATGGTCTAGTGTGAGGTGTCCCTGCCCACGGCTGAGGGTTGGAACTAGATGATCTTAAGGTCCTTTCCAACCCAAACCATTCTATGATTCTATGCTAGAAAAATATGCAAGCCAAAAACATGCAACCAAGCCTCCGAGACCACTACACTACAAATTATACTTTATAACACTTGGAGAAAGAGCAGCATACAGCATAGCAACACAAATTTTCGAACCCTGTAGGAATCTCATTATAAAACATGAAGTAGAAACAAACATATGCAAAGTGTTCAATACATTTAAACCAGACACAACGACAAAGAAGAGGACTATTAAAATATTACGGGATGTTCTACATTCTTGATAATATGCTGGAAGACCAAATAACATAGTTTTTTAAAAAAAAAACAAGTGTGAGAAACATTGACAAACACTTGGTTATTATAGAAACTGAAGAATAAAACCCAAGCCATAACTGCATAAACACAAAGCCAATTACCTGCAGTATGTTGGGACTGTGAGAGTATCACTGAGTAAAGGACTGAGTAAGGTGGGCAGGTGGTGCTACGATAAACATGGGTTTTCTCCTAAAGGTAGCCTTTCTACAACACTGGAGAAGGTACTAGTATTGTAAATCCACTGATGCCTCAGTCTGCCTAAGAGCTGGGTCTCTCCCAAAGGCTTCAGGCAGTGGGAAAATGCAGGTTTTGGAAGCAGAAGTTTTACAGCAGAGTATTTTAACCAGAGCCCTGGCAGCATCTGACACGGGTGGTGAGAACCATTCCCACTTTCAGGTAGGGGAGCTGAAGATAAGAGCTGGGCACTGACCTCCACAGAGTTCCATGAGGACTTGTGTCAGTCCAGGAACCCAGAATGGGGCATGACTGCAAAGCTGGGGAGCTGAGCTGTGACCAACACTCCCTACTTTCTCTACACACTACCAGGTTATTGAGTCACGTTTGCAATATTCATGTATGGAGGTTTAATTTATCATCCTAGCCAGGCTCGGAGAACACATCAAATGCAGAGTATCTGGTAAATACTGATGACATTTATGTTCATGATGGGCACAATTAGCCATGGTGGGTTAGGAACACCCATTTTTCTTGGCTACTACCCAGCAGCTGCTAGCTGCAAAATCATGTCCTGTCCTTGTGAAACTTCCCTGCTTAATATAATGAAGCATTCCAGCCTTTCTCTGAAGGTGCATCTGCCAACAAGAGGCTGTGAGTGATGGCTTTTCAAACTGTCCCAGGAAAAAGGACACGGATGAGATTTGAGCCAGCAGTACTAGAGACAAAAATATTCACAGTGATGTGGATGATACCAGTTAAAGCCAGAGTAAGTTGTCATCAAAATGTCTGGAGTGTCTGGGCTACCTGTGTACAATCTGGCTCAGAAGTTTGTTCCCTCAGCCACAGTGAAACAGTACAACATGAAAAACCTCTGCTGCAATACTGTGGGCAGACTGAGCCTTCCCCATGTTCACCTTTTGTCCCAAGAGGCAGGGACTGTGGGACTATCCCTGAAAAAGGATCTGCAGTCAAGTTTACTGGCTTGCAGCTGTATTGTCCCTACCCCAATGCAGCTCCACTGTAAGCAATGCTTCTCACTGCTAGCAGCTTTCCCAAGTCTCAGTCACTGGAGCTAAACTTTCCCATGCTTTGCCCTCTGCCTCAGGCTGGCTTTTTATGGAAGGGGAGAAACCACAACAAGAAAAGTGCTGCTGTGTCCAAGGAAAGGGTTAAGGAAAGCAGGTGATTTTACCAACATTCGCCATAGTTTCCAATGTCTGTATTTTTGGGAGAAGACTGGAATTTGGCATAGCACATCGTGGGGGGTCAGATACCTTTGGATATCCTCAACAAATGCAGCCCAAGGTCAGTGAAGATACATGTCTCAGAAAACTACATACTGCATTCATTCAGAGCCCTTATGGTTGAGGGCCTGTGCTCTGGAGGAAGGCGACCACCATCCCTGTTTGCATATAAGCCCAGCTGAGCACAGGAGAGTCCTTGCAGAGGTGCATGGGAGGAGTACCCTGACAGCCCAGGCACCCACGTTTCCCTCCTCTGGAAACCAGGTTAGAGGAAAAATGGTACCATACTATGGGTGCAGAGTCAGAATATAAATGAAGCATAATGTCAAAGGAAGCTGGGTTGTGGAGGGTTTGTTTCAGATGGCCTGGGGAGCACTTAACACAGAATTCATGTGACTGGCTGTAGGCTTCTCATCTCATGGACCACTGCACTCTGCTGCTGAGCGCCAACAGGCACCAGTGTAACCCACAATACAGCAACGGAGTACTGCAACCTGCTCTTGGTTGCATCAGTCCTTGCCTGTGCACTGGAATGACTCCTGCAGCAGATGTAGTGCAGAGATCCCCCCAAGCTCTTTGTAGCCACCTCCAGGTCATGCCCTGATTTCTGTCACTCCTGTAATTCATCCTGATGCTCTGTGAGCAAGGATGATGCTCTCAGAGGATCACAGGTATCTCATGGCCACCACCACTGCATTGCCACAGCTGGTGCATAACCACAACCACGTGCAACCAGTGAATAACCCTGCAGCACAGAACTACAGAGCACCTGAAATGTCAAGTCAGCTCAGTGGGATGCATACATTGCTGATGTACTAAAGAAATTACGACCACCATTATCAAACACATGGTTCACACACTGGCTTCATCACAGGAGGAGTTTGATGGAGGAGGGTACACCTAAACCCAGGCCTCCCAAAGCTGCCTGTCCTTGCCTGTACTCCCTGCTAGACTCCCACCCCTGGAAAGGAGGGAAGCTTTAGCATTTAACTTACTGGGAGTGGAGCCGAAAGCCTCGGCAGTGAGACACCAAGGCAAATGCCTTTTGAAGTGGCAATAAAATGTGAGCACAGTGGATCTTCTGGTGATGAGATCCAGACAAGCAAAATTTAACCTTCCTCACCTCACAAGGTTCTTCCTTTCCTTTTAGCAAAAGGTAAGGAGAAGGGCTTCTCTGTCTGACACCACCTTCCTGCTGCTGCTGGCAAAGCTTTTTTTTATTAAGATAAGAACAGGTACTTTTGTTTAACTGGGTAAACACTGGGTTTGGGAATTTTTTACCTTTTTTTTTTTTAACAGCCGAGGCTTGCTCTTATATTGGGAGCTTAGTGATATCCTAATACTGGAATTGCTTGTTTAACAATGGGAATGGGACAAATTCCTCAGCCTTTCTCCCAGAGTACCCATCTGGCAAAAGCTCAGATCAATAAAATCCCCCATTATTAGCTTGGGTGGGTTTTAGGTGCATTGTAACCATTCACCTGTTTGTGAGAGGGCACTGGCAACAAGCCACTTCAAGGGTCAAGGCATTTTCAAATGGAAGAGCTGGGGCACCAGTCTGGAAACTCTTGTAACAGACTACCCTCGTAATGCACTTCTTTTTTTTGGGGGGGTGGGCAGGGATGACAAGACTCTTCTTTTGAAGCACAGTGGTGCACCATTTCAAACTAGTATGTCCTTCTGAAAAGAAGCCAGATTTTTTACAGGCAGCTTCAGACTGCAGAGCTTAATGAGGCAATTTCCTTGCAGCCAGCTTTGGGGAAGGAAGGGTGGTGACACGTGGAACGTAAGGCTTGAGAATTTGGAGCCAACTCTGTTTCTAAACAGCCTTATATATGATCATTTACACTGTTATTATACAAACTTCTGATGGTCAGTATGATGCTTCACTGAATGTATGATGAGGCTAAAATCGTCTAGGTAATCCTATAGAGAAATGAGTCACTTCTGGTGTCTTCATTTTGTACATAAAACAAATGAATGGGCCCAGACCAGAATTCCAGACTGGAATTGTCACGCTTTTTGTGGATTTTATTTCATATGGGGATCCACAGGCTACTGATGTATTTTTTCTGTTATGTATTAGCTCTGGTCCACACTTATATTTTGAACTTTAAATAATATACCACTGAATTCGTTAAAATAAAGAACATTCTGCTAAAATGACCAGCATACTGCATTCAGCATAAAAGAGTTCCCAAAAAAGTGCTGCTATTTGAATACTAAAACTCAGGGGTTTATTAGTCCAAGTAATATATTCTATTTAATTAGTCTTGTCTATGAACCATCTATCCAGGAGCTGAAATTGCCTGGCCAGCAGAAACAAAAAATGGTGACACTTTTATTTTTCAGATTGTCAAGTTGTACTACCAGAATCTACTAAGGTAAAAAAACCTAATGCCAGATTCACGAGTGAACCTGAGATATGCAGCAAAACAAGCTGGAACACACCAGCAGATGCAGCCTAAACTCTCCAGTACTAATGACAGAGATACAACAAACTCATCCACTTGAGGCTGTGGCTGTGCAATAGTTAATCCTGGCTCTGTCATTACCCCATCAG